AGGTGGGAGCCGTTCACCTCCACGCACAACTTGGGCGTCCCGCTCTGCATCCGAGCCGGACCCGTGCGGTTCAGAGCGGGGAGGCTGTTGCAGAGGCCAAATGTGTACTGTCAAGCAGTTGCATCTGCAAATGACAGGGAGCCTTTACAGTGTATTTTATAACCGTATCTGTGCCTCTTCTAAAAATCTAATGCAGCAGCAGAAGAGGGGATCTTTCAGTTCGTTTTCTGCTTAGGACGCTGCTGTGTCACTGGAATAAATGTGATGGCAACTCTGCCAGTGACAATTCACAGTTGTGGGCACCAACTTTATACTTATTGTCTTTAAACTGAAGGTGCTGGGAATGTAATTACCCAGCAGGCTAACAATACTTGGTTTAACCTAATCTTGACATTTTATTATGTTTTTGTGTAAAAATAAAAAAAAAAAAAAAAAGAAGAGTTTCCTGTAGTTGAATGCCAACCACAGCAGCCTAAGAAACTGGAAAAACTCTTGGCTTTCTAACGGCAGTTTTGCAACATGTCAGCAATCCATCATTCTTGTTAAAAGAAACTATGAGCCTTGGGAAGCAAGGGGAGTGATGTTTTGATCCAGAGCCTTCTGTGGCAGAGCTGCTCCCCTAGGCTCCGAGTGTGTCTGGAGGGGGAAATGAGACCACTCTGGGCAGGGCGATGGGGCTGGTGAGATAGCAAGTTGTTCGTGAAAGCTTCGGGGGGGGGGGCGTAACCTGTAGGCATAGTGAAATGCTAAAAGCATGGTATCGTTGGGAGCTACTTTTTGGGGAGAGGAGATCATAGCTTTATATTCCAAAATTTGTTTTGTTTGTTTTTGCTGTAGACTAATCTTGAAAGTTGTGTGAATTCTTTGTAACATCTAAAGAATAATTGTGACATTTATAATAATTAGTCTTATTTGTTTAATTCTTTGAGTATCATGTTAAAACATTTACCTAATAATATTAGTGGATTATGTAGGATTCCCTACAAACTGTCATCAGCAATCTTTGCAGAATAATAATGTCTGTACATCTAGCTGCCACTGGTTATTTGCAGTCTGTTTCTACTGCGGTGATTTTATAGCATGTGCCAGATGGTTTAGGTAATGGAATACTAGTATTTTTTAGATAAATAAATGAGCAGATAAAGCGCTGTCGAGCTCCTGCTATCTCAGGAAATGTGTGCAATGACCACCGTTATCTTTCAGTGAGCCACAGTGCTACAGGCTGAGTTGGACAGAGAGGTGGCTGATCAGGCAGAGATACCTGGCTCCTAGGGTCTCCTTGTGGGGCCTTTGGGAGTTTAATCCTCTCCATGTGTTCTAATAACAAAGTAATTTGTCTCTCTCTTTAGTGACACTCGTTGTTTAATCTCTGTATGACTAAAGAAAGCATTTTTGTTATTGAAATTTGCTCATTGAACCAGTTGAATTGGAGGAAGTCACAGAAATGGCCAGTATCACAAGGTTTCACTGTTTCTGGATGGTCTATTTTTAATACGAATTTAAAAAAGCAAGAAGTGGTGTTAAGGTTCGTTGTGGATTGTGTTTCTACTATAAGGGAAAAGCAGTGAGCAGCTGGCAAGTCTGCTGTCCTGTGGGTGCCAGTGGGATGGTGCCTGGATTTCTGGTGAGTCAGAACAGCCTCTTCAGCAGCTCTTGGAGGAACCAGCCACCTTGGGGTGTCCTACAGGGACATTAATTGAATTTGGATTTCATTACTTCAAAACACAAAGCATACACACAACAAATATTTAACTATTTGAAGTCTTGCTTATATTACTGGAGTCTTTGACACCTGAACATATATGTGAGCATATGTACAGACACTGCTGGTTTGAAAGGCACCTTGGCTAGGGAGATGATGATGGACCCAGTTTCACTTCGCGATGTCAAGCATCACGAGCTCCTCTGATAAGAGCCGGTGGTTTGTTTCATGCCTCTCGATTAACGACAGCTTAGCTTGGTTTGCAAGTATGACGTTAGGGACAAGCAGAGTCTAAACTCCTTTGCTTGATTGGGTTTTCTTTGGTACGCTTGAAGGTGCAGAGGTTATCTCTGATCTGATTTTGTGCTCGCTGTAGTGGAGCAGTGTTTACTACTGCGTGTATTGTGCTTGACTCCAATAGTATTTATACAGTTGAATTCAGGGCCAAGAAACGGTGTTTGGGCAAGGCTGTTGTTCCTGCTGCTTTGTGAGCAAACTACTCGAGCGAGCCAAGGCAGCAGTGTGCACCTTCTGCTTGTCTTCTCTGCTGCTGAAATAGCAAGGAAGAACTTCCTATTTTCCCTTAATAATCAATGGTTCTTGTTGCCGAAAATATTAGGGTCAGAATAAACCCATGGTTCTTGGAATTTTTCATCACATCTGTGACTTGGACTTTTTCCTTAGACTGTATCTATTTGCTTAAGTTATTTTCATAGACCATGCTCATGATACACCACAACAGATGTATTTTCTTGTTTTGGGGGAGAGGCTCCTAAGAGTTTGATTGATTTAACTCGGTATCAGAACTTCTAAAGAAGTAGAAATGCATTAGGTACAAAATTAAACCTGTTATGTAGAGGTCATGGGAGACAGAGAAAATTCAAACTGTGTTGAATTCAAAGGCTCTTTGTACACTGACTTTTTGTTGGCTTTACTTTTGAGCTGCATCCAGGATGGAGAGTTGTACGATTGGGTTGCTAAGGCCTCAATTACCGATGCGAATAGCAAGGCTTTTAGTGGCTTTCCTGGCAGAGAACAGCACTTTCATGCCCATGCCAGTGCTACGTTCTGTGCCACCCTTTGCCTAGGACTGCATCATTTCCTCCTTGTTCTTGGTGTTGCTTGGCTTTGCTTAGCCCTGGGTTTGTTTAAGCCTGCTCCTGCGAAGATTTATCTTTACTCCATGTGAGTAATTGCATTGCTTAATTCTATGCTTTGAAATCAAGCCTGTAAATCTGAAAGACTGGGCCTTTGATTCTCTATTTCCTCTTATTGCAGGGAAGTAACTTTGCTGTCATATACCTGCTCAGAGTAATTTGTGCAGGAAAACAAAGGAAAACATATCCTAGGGATGTCGTCTTGTCAAGTTCTTCGTGTTAAGCTCTGTGTATACAATGTTGCAGTAAGTTAGGACTTGTCTACTTAAAACCCAATTTTAGTATTTAATAGCAAGAGTGTATTTTCAGGAGTAGCTTCCGCTTCCAGGGCCGCCACCATCTCAGGGAGGTAATGGTTCCACTCATCTTCTTTTAGCATAGCCCACTTTCTCAGTTTGCTACAGGCAGCAGCGCAGGGTGAAATACTGTGTGAGATGGATAACCTGAGCTGCCCAGCAGTGCGCAAGTGTGAAAAGCACCAGAGTTATCGAGCTGATGATCTTGATGTTTTTAGGGTCTTTCTGTTCCTGGCCATCCGGGTCATAACCCCTGCGTTTTCTGTCACAATATAGCTGCTTTGCTGCCTGCTCTCAGTTAATCACAGTATTTAGAATTTTTATTTCTATATATCTTAGTCTATTTATATACAAATAAAATGGAAAGAAGAGATCTGTGCTGGCTAAAAGGTTTGTGGGTTTTTTTGTGTGTGTGTCTGTTTCTTTTTTTTTTTTTTTTTTAAGAGGATAAGTACTTGGTGTGATTACCTTAGAGAATCACCCTCCTTGCTGAATCCTGGGCATTAAGCAGCTGGAAGGTAAGCACAGGAAACTTAGGCACTACTAATAAAGTTTAAAGACTTCACTTCTGCTGAATGTCTGTGGATTGAGATATTGACCCAACTTTTAATGTAAAATACCTGCAAATTTTAATGCAAATTCTGAAGAAGGTGAAAACGAATTACTTACAAAAGCAGAGGTCTTGTGTCTTTACACCATCTGTTCTCCTTAGTGGGATGGATTTAATTTCTTCAGCCTGTTAATCGGGGACAATAGCAAGAATTGTCACAGATCTTTCCCTGAATAATAATGGCATGGAGGTGCTTGAGGCTGGGGTAAAGCTTCTTAAAGTGTTAAGGGAGAAGAAGGTACAAACCTAACATCACATAATCAAATAAGCAAGGATGAATGAGAAGTGACCATGCTGATGAAGGGCCTGAGGGAGCAGTATGGAGATTACAATGGAGGAGAAGCAATCAAGAAAGCAGAATGCAGCTGTGCCTGCAGGGTCATTTTGAGTCTGTTACCTCTGTGCTCTTTGGTGAAAGTTGTGGTTTTTTTCTGAGCATCTTGAAAGCTGTTGCATTTCCCTCATTGCTCATCAAGTCTTCATTTTTGCCTTCTTAACCCTGCTTCAGGTGTGGCTGTAGGTAAGGCTGTCTGGGTAATTAGCGGGAGAAGGGGCTCGTTGAGTTTATTTGGCTCTTAGGAGACAGAGGGGATGGTTGAGAGCAGACTCTTTGAGGCTACTTACACCATAGTCTGCTGAGAGCCCTCACTTTAAAATTAAATGTTACTTTGAAGAGCTCTCATTCTGTCTTTGTAGTACTTAACACGGGGAAAATATGACGTGTGACTTCTCATGTCAAGTTCCCTAAGATTGCTGTGTGGTTAGATGTAAACTGAATGTTTCTAGCTTGACAGTCCTAAATACAGAAGAACAGAGACTTCTCATCTGAGTGACTTTCTTATCCATATGGTCTCTTTTTTGTAAATGGATATGATAAATCACAAAGTCTTGCTGCAATTACCAACACTGTCTTCGAGTTCTTCAATTTGGTTGTCACAAGACAAGATAATTTTGCAATTTGTGATTTACAGGAGGACACTCTTGCTCTTTGTAGAGCCAGAGAAATAAACTAAAAATACTATGAGTCGGCCTAACAATGTGGGAATTCATTACCCCAACATGGCTTGTCACACGTTACTCTCTGCAGACTCCATGGGTTATTCATAAGTATCTTTAAAGCAGATGACCTCAGTTGTTTTGCTGAGGAAACCAGAGAGATTCCCAAGTTGCCTGATGAGTTAGAGTACACCAATACAAGAAATATGGAAATATTTTCCATGGAGATAGAGCCTATTATGCCCGGAAAGGACACACCAACTGCCTCTGCGAGAGCTGAAAATCTGTGTTACAAGAGATACGGGATGGAAATAGATGGTATAGACTACACTTATGTTAAAGTAAGTAGAGTATGTTTGGTTGTTTTCTTGGTTTTAGCATAGGTGAAGGCTGCATAGCCAAGCATCTAATAGCTTATTAGTTTATTAAAGGTTTAAAGTAAGTAGAGTTTTGACTTATGATCTGGAGATACATAGAGAAGACTTTTTCAAACATGCCCGACAATGATTTCATTGTCTAGGACATTGTCTCCCTTAGAAAATATTTGTATGAGGAGAAGCATTTGCAGAAGTTGTTAGAATTTGATGTCGGAATGCACTTCTTCCTTGTGACGATCTTTATGTATTGGAAATACAAAGGCAATATAAACTTTCTGCAAACCATCAGATAGATAATGCTTGTAGAGAAAAGGAGTGGAATAGTTTCTCTAAGGCTAAATATGGTATACAATTTCCAACTAGCATGAAGGGTTCTAATTTCACTCCCCTCTACAACGTAGAGGTGTTTTCCATAATTTCTCATGCTAATCAAGGTTAAAATTGCACTAATGAAATGGACTGGAGCAGGCAGCACCCGGGTCCCGGTGGTGCCTGCAGCCCCGCTGACCCAGCAGCTCCATGCCCGCTTTTCGCTTGGGGATTTATGAGGACAGGACTGAAGGTCGCAGAGGAAGAAATGCAGCTGCTGTCGCCGGAGAGTTTCTGAGAGCAACGCTGTGGCCGTTAACCAAGTTCTGCTTTCACAGCTTCCCCCCAACACTTGTGGGGGCGCTTTGGGAGGTGTAACTCTGCTCGCTGGTTTTAAGTTAGAGCTTGCCAGGTCATTCACACCGGGTCATTCTGGTTTCCTTGCATCATAGGGCCTTACTGTTACTTTCCCATGAAAAAATGGTGGGACTAAATATAGCTTCATTAGATGTGCTTCACTGGAGTCAGGTTGCTGTTATGGCAGAAAGGTATCTGACCATAATGACAGACTTACGTTCTGGGTTAGCTGAGTAAAACTAGTTTTTCCTGAATAACTCAAGCTAAGTCACTAAAAGCTCTGTTTAATAATTACATGTCAGCCTGGGGCTTCTGTGTCATTCTCACAAAAATTAATCAATTAATTTTGGATTTTTAGAACCTCAAGCAGGTGTTTTACTTTCAGTGTGACTTTTTTAGGGGGCTAGGATTAAGTAAAAAGAAAAGAATGCTGTTTGGACTTGAGCTCAACTTTACAGAAAGATACTCGGAAAAGTACAGCCTTATCCACTATCAAAGTTTGTGCCAAGTATCTTCCCTTTCATTTTTAACTTTTGAATTAAGCTTTCACAGTTAAGTCAGCAATTGTTCATGCTCCAGATGTTTTACAGATATCAGAAAATCTAGCCTTATTTCACCTCTGTGAGCTAGGTGATCAGTTACGGCTCCACTACCCTTTTCTCAATAACTTCTTGTTTCAAACTCCAGCGCTGTAGCACGGCACAGTGCATCTGCCTGGTCAATACAGCCCTTTATTTTCCCTTCCTGCCTAAGCAAGTGCTAGATACACCAAATAATCTCATGGCAGTGATGCAGATGGCTCTGTGCTGAAGCAGAGACACCGAGACAAAAGACAGCGCTTCCTCTTTCTGCGTGTATGAGCCCGGGATGAACAACCAGCTGCAGCCAGCGCCATGAGCCCCTTCTGTCCCTGAGCAAAACTGGGGCTGTGCTGCGTGTTGCAAGAAACGATTTCGTTATCCTGCCTCCTGTGGGTGAGATTCCTGGAAACTGCGGGGAAAATAATTATAAAATCTTCTGTAAGGTCTTAAATCCATTTAAGAACTTGAGAAAATGAAATAAATGTTTCCTTCTGTGACATCAGCATGTAAAAACATACAGGGAACAGGAGGGTTTTGACTGAATTTGTACCTGTGATCTGGAAATAATACTTATTTCAGCGTTTAGTTAATTATGCTGTGAAGCCTGTATTATGACTTGCATCATCTTAGTGTTCAAACAAAATACTACAATGACTTGTTTCATTTGGCCTCACAGTATTTGTTTTCTTGGATTTTAAATTCAGGCACCCATGAAGTTAATCATGACATGTTGAATGTTTTTTTATTTATTTAAGTATTGGCTTTTTAAAAATTTTTAAGTTTGGGTATATTTGTAATATACCCACAACGTTCACTGTAAGCACACAAACATGAAATCATGCATCCTTTTCCTAATACTCTTTCTTGAATGCTATGTGTCTCACTAGCTTAATATTCAGGGGATGGCTATAGTTGTTTAATTTCCCCTTGAATTTCTTGCAGCCACTCTTCTAGAATTCTTGTAATGTGTTTCTCAGGTTGGATGAATTAGGTGTTTTAAGGCAGACTTATAATTAACTTCCTTTTGAAATCCCTAGCGTGTAATTCAGTGTTGGCCTTTGTTTTTGTGGTCTGGATGGAAATGCAATACAGTGTATGCCTGTCTGTGTGGGTATGACCCTGAATGAAGTTTTACATGAGTAGAATATTTTTCTGTCGCTCACTCTGGGGTAGGGGTCATGCTTCTGCTCGGTGTTTTCGCTGATCTTGCTGTGGTTATTCAACTGTTTTGTGTCTCGAGTACTGACCAAAACATTGGTAGTTCTGATCTAGCTGTAACTGCCATCTTTTTTGAAGATCTTTCAGAGCCACATTCATTCCTTTGACAGGTCTAGAAATCAAAGCTGTTTCAAACACAAAATATTCTTAAGCCTGATTTACTTAAAATGAAGAAGTGTGCCGACTTAAATGAGACTAGCACACTGCAGCAAGCAAGGCACAAGTACTGCTGTTTTGCCGGGTTGTTACGCTGTAGGTTTGCTGGTGCCTGGTGATGTGTGAGGAATCGCGCAGGCAGGTGGGCAGCGGTGCAGGGGCAGCGGTGCAGGGGTGTCGCTCCATGTCATCCCGCGCAGGCTGGTGCAGCAGCGGGGACGGGGGGAAGGATGTAGCTGCGCTTCCCAGTGGCCAGTCCAGCCTCTGTTCCAGTCCGGGTGGCACTTTGTGAAACGTGTTTTGTTTTTCTGTAACTGATAACACAACCTCAATTAAGCCCTGTCAGAAGCGTCATGTGGGCAAATTCATGGTGCCCCCAAACGGTATCGCATGTGACTTCCCATCGCTGCCCAGTGGGTTTCAGCGGTGCTGGCAGCACAAGCCGAGCAAGTCACGGAGTACGAGATTGTAGCTGTGGCTGCTGGTGGAGGATGGCTGCTTGGGCAGGATGGAGAAGAGCCTGTGACAGTGGTCTGTGAAACACAACAGGAGCTGACAAATGCGGTTCCCACGTGCAGCATCTTAGGGGGGTGAGTGGGCAACATTTTGATAGCTAAAATATTGTCTGGGTTAATAATGACTGAGTATAAACCAGAGCTGTTGCCCTCCATATGACATTTTGAAGAGGTGGTCAAATACAACCAACATCAAATGTAGAAAGCTATGTTTTTAAAGATGAAAAAAATTCACAACTTTTAAACATTTCATGTGTTTTAACTCCTTGAAAATGTTTCTTATAAAAATCATATCAATTACAACCTGGGAATATAACTGTTCTTTGATAGATTTGGTAGTTTAAAGTAAACAACTGAGTTTTCTGACCTTGATGTCAGGCCCCGTGTGTAGATTTGTAGGGTGATCATTTTCTTTGAAATTCAGTGGAAAGGTTGCTAATAATTGTAATGTTTAAAGAAAAAAAATTACTTTTTTGTTTGCTGACCAAATTTTCCTGTAGTAGCATGTATATATACCCTGTGTTTTGGATTTAGCTTTTTTTGCATCACTTTGAAGTAAGGTGAAGTTTCAGGTAAGTGTATGTCAATGGACATTTTTCCAGTGGATGAAGATGTAAATCTTGCTGCAGTGATTCTTTGTGGGATGCTGATATTTTTTGATTGTACCTTGTACAATCAAGGCGTATTTGGCAAACAACGCACAAGTTGTTTTTGTTGTTACAAATCACCAGGCCCTAAATACAAAGAGTGCCTAACAAAAATGCTTAAAAGAAAGAAGGAAAGAAAGAGACAAGAAAAAAAAAAAAGCTTTTATATCCTTAGGGTTCAAACCTAGTGAATATTTATACAGTAGATGAAATACTGAAGTACAACAGATTTTTTTCTCATTGAGCTGCGATTCAGGTGGTTTCCTTGTGTGTGGTGAAGGACACAGTGCCTTATGTGCCTCACCTTGAGTACTGCAGGCACTTTGACCCAAATTTGCAAGCCCAGTGTCAGTAGTATGCAAGCTTGTAGTAGTGGTCTCTTAGGGTGTAGCTCAGAGCCTGGGTCGCCACTGTCCCCCAGCCACTGTTTGGGAGCTCCGCGTGTGGCCGGTCACAGAATTCTCCTGAGTCAGAACAACATTTTGATCTTCCTATTGGGTAAACTAGCTATGTGAGGCTATTTTTCAGACAAAACATTAATACAAATTGTCACATATATTTTCCGACTATATATGATGATATAAATGTCTTTTTAAATTAATGCTTTCTAAATAATCAGCCCTTAAACTGTACAAGAGGTAGATAAATGGCTGTTGCTGAACAGCAAGACTGAAAATATGCTCCATACCCAAAGAATGCTACTGCCTTTAAGAAAAGTGGTAATTTTTGTTTTGATTCTTTTGCAAAGTTAATGATGCCATTTCCCTCAGGCTGTAAGAAGAATTTACATGAGTTGGTCAGAGGTTTTGCAGCAGCCTGCTTGTCATGGAAATGCTCTACTTTCCGATCCTCCCTGGTTACTTGGCATTTTTATGAAAGGAGAGTAAGTCTTATCTTTCTTTTCAAACTGCAGCCGGCAGCTGCACTTTGTTCATAGAAATGCAGAGCTTCCTTGGGAAGCTTGGGAAATGCAGGACAGATGGCAGAAATTTTGGTGGTTTCAGCAGTGGAAGAAATGGGACCTCCTTGTGCCTCATGTGTGAGTGATCAGGATCTCTTTGTAGGGGATCCAGGTTGATCAAGTTATGGCTTGTGTTCGACCTGTTACTCGTATGTCTGTGCATCTGCACATGTTAATATAAAAGCTAAACTTTTCTGTTTCAAGTGTTTCTAGGCTCAGTATTGTCTGAGAGGTGGAGGTACTGTGAACCAAGTATAGGGAAAAATACAAAGCTGAACGGAAATTATTCTGATAGCGTCAGATTATGTTTCCAGAGCAACCCCATCAAGGAAATCACGCAGCTCAGAAATCCTTTTCTAGTAAGTTTGCATTTTGCATAGATAAGTTCAACACTTCCGCAGTGTGAACTTCTATGACTTTGTGCTCTGTTTCGTGTTATGCCTTCACATTTTTTTTCCCAGCCTAATAACGCAGCCTGTTCTCTCCAGGTGGCCATGTTCAGTTAGCAACAGGTACACATTGAATGATTTTGGTCAAATTTGGCTTTGACTTTCACTGGCTGATGTTGTTCCATTGGCTTCTTCAGCTAGTGCTGCCAGAATTGACGGTTATCTCTTTGATCCAGACATTAATGAGCTGCTTTATTCCTACACAAAACCGAGGAAATTCTTGAGAGAGGGGCAATGTCTCTGAGAAAGCTTTTCATGGTGTCCTGGGTTAGGGCTGGGCCAGCCACTAATGAATGGTAGATGCTTACTATCAACGCCTCTCCCTTCTGGAGGGAGAGAGTCCAATGGATTGGGAAGGAATACTAAAACAGCTTTAGTGGAACAATAATAGTAAAAAGAAAAGATAATAATACTAATAAGAAAATAATAAAATATGTACAAATATACACAAAACCAGTACTGAACCCAACCCCCTGATGACAATACGTCACCAGTGATGCTGCAGGGCTGGCACTAGGGCAGTCCCAGGCTGGTCTCGGCAGCAGGCGGGAACTGGACTCAGGAGCTGGATTCTGGAACAGAATTCAGGGACGCACGGATTGGGATAGCAGACAGAAGAACGGACGCAGTCCTCCTTGGATGATGGCCATCGAAGAAGAGAGCTTAACCCTCGTGACCCCTCAGCGTTATACTGGATATGACGTAGATGGGATGGAATACTTAGCTGGTCAGGTTTGGGTCACCTGTCCAGCTCGCTTCACCCTACAGGTGTGACCTTTCACTTTGTTAAGATCCTTTTTTCACTTCTGGCACCTCAACACGGGATACAGAATTCAGCAGTGACCTTGGTTTCTATTGAAGCAGTTATAAGCAAGAGCCTTTCTGCATCCCATTCCTTGGCATTAACCATAAACATCAAGCACTGTCACTACTAGAAGCAGACACTGTCTGGAAAAATACGCTGTTGGTTTCAGAAAGTGCGGTTACTTGGAAGAGACTTAACTGAAAAGTAAAATCACTGGACGGAATTGGTTCTGTCCCAGCTCAAACCAGGACACATCATTAACATCTGAAAGAATACAGCTTTTGAGGCTGTAAATAAATAAATAGATGATCTCTGCTGAAGTGAAAATCATACGTGTTCACTTGTATAGGTAGATCTTGCTGAGAAACTAGGGACAGTTTTTTATGAGTTGAAATTTCCATTATCTTTTTAGCTTGTAGATAATTTCATGAACTCTTTCAGCTCTTATCAGAAGAGCCATAAGCTGGGAAGATAGCTATATCTCCTTCCGCAGTATTTGGGATTGTGCAATGGAAGTAGAAAACTATTTGATCGCTGAAGCGACTGCTGAGCCGCTTGCATTGCTAATTCCATTCTGTCAGCAATGTCACTGAGTACTTCAAGAGGTTAGTATCTCAGAAGAGAGGCTTTGTGAGTCATATGGTTTCATTTGATAGATATAGTCTGCTGATTTCTTCATGTGATCTAAGATGAAATCATGAGGTATGAGAGAACACTGCAAGTTCCCATTATATTTTCTTATGTAAAATTGTGGTAATAGAGCTAGTTTTCTGACCTACCAGTAAAAAATGAAAACTTCTGCCTGTGCTTTTTTTCTGCTGTGAACTCTTTTAGAGTCACTATATAGATATCAGTAGGCCGTTGCCTTTCAGCAGCCCAACTTGTCCTTCCTTGAACAAAGTAAGGCGATTCCACACTTCCATGTGATTTTGGACATGGTGGAATTTTTTTTTTTACGTTAGTCTGCTGAGGCTGGAAGGGAGTCTAGGCAGGAAACTGAGTTTTGAGGTAGTCATGTCTATATGCATTTAATTATTTGTTTTCCTTCTGAATTCAAGGCTATCTTATCTGTGTGTCTTATATTTCATTCTGTTTTTTTTTTTTTAAACTGGTTTAGAGTAAGCTGGGTCCTGTGAATGCTCGGCTGGAGATAGCTGGCTGCTGTCTCCAGCCCAGAGTGCCAGCGTGATGGTGAGGCGTTGTCGCAGGGCGAGAGGATGGGCCACGTGTCCTCTGCATGCCTCTTCCAGCCCTACGTCTCCGATGAGGGTAGGAAGAAGTCATCAGCGGTGAGCCAGAAATACACCCTCAGAGAAAGTACAACATTCTTACCTGGATAGTAAAGCAAGTTTGTTAGTGCCAAATCAATACTGAAATGTAAAGTGCAAGTGGTGCTATTGGTAAGCTTGGGTTATCGTGAAGGGTAACAATATTTACCTAAAATTCCATTCACTGCCTTCCCTTAAGTAAATCATACTGTTATCTCGCCTAGGAGTAGTTTTATTCTGGTGGTCCAAAATTTACATTGAATTGTTGCAAAGAGTAATATATTAATTGATCATAATTGGGCACAATTTCAGTAAAGTTCATTTGTTTCTTGCCATAATTTTTATTGTAATTTCAGTGCATTTTTAGGCTAGAATTTCCTTCCCCTTTTAGAAGGCTGATTTGTAAATCAGTGTCTCTAGAAGTTTATTATATTTTGGTCTTATTATTATGTAGTGATAAACTTGATTTTGTATACTAGTAAATAAAGAGGGATGAATAGTAGACATACTAGAGTAATGTACTTTGCAACAGAGAGGCCCCTGGTCCTGTTTCTACCAGTGATGGTGCTTTGTTTTCTGCTGTAGGGTTGGATCCCACTAAAGGTTAGGCAGTGATGGGATTTTAATGTCAACTGATTATATAAAAGATAGAATGAAAATCTGATTTTGCAAATTATTCTGCTAAATTAATGAGGTGAGAATGTTGTGAAATGATTCAATGCTTATAATTAGGAACATCTCTCTCTTTCCTCCCACCAGTTTTCTTTGGCAGGGATTTAAGGCTAGGCAGTGATGCTAGAGATGAAAAGCTACAGCTTAGTGCTCACAGGATGACTCTAATATCTGTAGGGTTATGTCATGTGGAAGGTTCAGCTGTCTGTAGTAACCCAGTTTCTATGGTGATCTGTTTTCTGCTTTTTCTTTCCCTTCTCTAGACAGTAGAAAATACACAGTTTCAGCTGCATAAATTAAAGGTGCATATTTCATGCTGGCGTAGATCACGCAGTTAGAAACTGCTACACAGCATTCACTGCCTGAAGTTAATAGTGTTTGTGTCTCACTAGGCTACAGCCTGTTTTACATCAGGAAACTTTTCTTTGTGTAGCCTAGAGGAGACCAGCCTGCTAACCTGTTTTGCTGGACAGTCTTTAAATGCTTTCCTCTTTTGTATTACATTTACTTTGCTTTCTGTTAATTCCTGTGATGAGAGGGAAGCAATATCCCATCAGAAATATTGAGGATGGGGAACTGCTGCTATAGCTGGGGCAGTGGTGGAAACCTGGGCAACGTGTGGTATGTATTCGGTCTTCAGCTGTGTCTGCCACTGCAGCATCTTTGTGTTAAACTAAAAAACTTCCCTGCTTTCTGGCAGGGTTTTGATATTTAGGTGTTTTTTTGTGGTTGTGGTTTTTTGCTTTTTTTTTTTTTTTTTTTTTTTAAATAGGGTTCTGTGAGCAGGTACATTAGCGTAAGTTTGGATATATGTGTGTTCTTGAAGTTTACAGGGAATCCTTTGTTTAAAAAATAAGCAGAAAGGAAAGAAGACACTGCTCCTGAGCACACTACTTGACTCTGTAATACCGCACCTCTATTGTCACGTCCTGGTTAATTGTTTTGGAATTACTCAGTAGTTTCTGTGGGTCTGTACTTGCATTGGCCTGTACACTTGTTAGCACACACCTTCATTTTAACTCAAACGAAGTTTCTTAGCCTGTGAGTTATGGATGCAGCAGGGCTGAAAACAAATCATCCAAGTGCCCAAACTGTGGTTTCTGCTGCTGATTTCCCGGCTGCTCCACTGCCTTTTTGTTGGCCTCCATTGTGTTTTAGACAGGGCTCTGACCACATATGGAAGAATTGTTTTGGCAGTCTTTCATTTTTCAAGTAATTCATCAATATTCATATCTTTTGGGGGAGTTGGGAAGAGGATATGTAAATAATAAAGTAATACTGCGCTTTTGTACTGGAAACAATAGCAAATACATATGAAACTAGTAAAGCTCAGAGAAAAAACCCCGCAACCACATATTTACTTTTTTTTAATTTATTTTTTTTATTTATTATAAAGAACATAGTTTCTTGTCTTTGTATAAAGCAGATTCTTAGGGCTGGCATAAACATCCAGCGAAAATGAAGAAAGGCCAGGTGTGGGAGCATAACATACTCAGTAGTGGGAACAAGGAAAGTTAATTTTTAATTATTTATTTTATTATTTTTCCTCTTTCATTCGATGGAGAGAATTGGTTTCCACACGTGGCATAAGCTTTTCAGGAGTTCAGGAGCGTTCTAGATGAAAGCGGCGGCAGTGCTTTAAAGGCTGTAATGTGTTCAGGGTAAAAGCCAGTTGATTTAGGCTGTTACACATTACTCACGTGCACTGTTCTTGAGAAGCATCCTGGGCATGGGAAACAAATTGCCTTGTGAAGCTCAAAATAATTCCAGGCACTGAGCCTCCCTGGCAGCCTCCAGCTAGGCAGGGTGCCCATCTCTTTCCTGGGTCAGGGGTTGGGGCTCCTTGGGTCTCACTCCCCAACCCGCTGCCTTTGCTGGGCACATCTTATCGTGTCCTGTCTTGCAGCAAGAAGGTAGCGTTAAGTTAGTTTTTAAAAAAATCGCTAGTGGAAACAAGAAGTTCATAATTTTAAGTAGTGGGAAAACAGGGTTAATAGGGGAAAAAAAAAAAGCTTCAGCATTCTTTGAGGCAGAAGGTAAGGTGCTATACAAAAATAAGTTGTGTAAGATTAGGTGATGAAGCTGTATGACCAAATGCAATTTTCTTTGCCATCAAATGCTGTGCTTTGACAAGTACATTATAGTTATTTTGAAATAATTTAGTGGATTGAGAATGTTTTGCAACATGGCTGTACCTCGAAAGCCAAGAAGCTGTTGTGTTTGCAAAGATGGTGGGTGTGGGATGATCTCAGTGCTCTCTAGGCATTGCAAGAGCATCAGTTCAGAAGCTTTAATATATTAAAAATGTCATGGGTTTTTACTTGTGTTTCTCAAGAGCTGTTTCATATGTATCTATTTGCATGTACATGCAACTGTGTAAGTAACCAGATGGTTTCCATACACCTTTATTGATTCTTGAATATGAGATAACCATTGTATCTTCTTCACTCATTTAAAAATATTTCTGTTTTTGAAAACAACTCATATATTTGTTATGGGTTACTTTTATGAATAAAGTTTGGGTGAAAATGGTCATTATTTGGAATGCTGGTTTGTTTTGTTTTGTTTTGTTTTTTTCTGTTGTTTGGAGGGCTTTTCAAGAAAATATTTTCAGGTTTTTGGGTTTTTTTGTTTTTTTTTTTCCTTCTGGCATTCTGGGGATAATCCATTTTAAACTTGCCCTATTTGCAATTACAAAGGAAATCTTTTAATACTTGAGATCAGATAGCTGGATAGCTTTACCTGAGTTAACACAGATCTGCCAGAGTGTTCTCTTAGGGGAAAAAAAAAAAGGGAAAAAAACGCTATATAATGTTATGCTGCAAATGGATTTAGAACCTACTCAGAAGAGTTGCTCCAAGTAATTTTTTTGGTAGCCAAATTTTTGATCTCTCTGAAAATACTGATCTTTTTTTCTTTGTAGATTTTCAGCATTGTATGTGTATCTTGGAAAATTATTTTGCATGGGAAATGCCTTTTTTCTTTTTGTGTAGACAATTAAAATTAAGCTCCTGTAGCCTTTTATCAATAGAACAACTTATTTACCTCAGACATACTAATTAACTTGTCTCTTGCTTAAGGGTTTGGCTGTTAAACATGTATTTAAAAAAGAAGAAAACAGTTTTGGTGTCATGTATATTGATGATCTAACTATAAAAGTCACTGATATTTTGTGTTGATACTGTATTTCAGTATGCCAGGGTTTGGATCCCTGATCCAGAGGAGGTCTGGAAGTCAGCAGAACTTCTCAAAGATTATAAACCTGGAGATAAAGTCCTCCATCTTCGACTTGAAGGGGGCAAGGTAGGTCTGCATATTGTTTATAAGCCGATTGGTTTTTGTTCTTGACTGGAGACTGGTGTATCTAACACAGGAAGCTGTACTGTCAGAATACATTTGTTTTTATGTATGTGCAATTATTTTTGTCCACCAACTTCCAGTAGTATTTTTTTGGAGTGATAAATTATACTGTTTAGTTATAAAAATTCATTTACCAGATTTTAAAAATAAATAAAATTTTAAAAATTGTCACTTTTATCCAACTGCCTATTATGTTCAGTTGCATCATCTTTTTCTACTTACGGTGTTAAAGCTATAACCCTGGTTTGATATTCCAGTGAGAACAGCATTGCTGGGAGAACAGTGTTGCAGAGAAAGAACTGTGTCTTTGAAGTCGAGTGTAGCCATCAGAAGATTAATAAAGATAAAAAGGGGCAAGGATTAAGGGCATTACAAAAATCATGCTGTATATGGTATAGAGAAATGGTGACGTGTCTATGAAAAGCTCATATCCTTCTAGTGAAGGCCTGTTCATTTTTTTTCATGCCATTTAAATGATTATTTAATTTTAATATATGATGACGGTGATTCCACAGATCATCTAATGGAAAATAAAGGTCTACTGCAGTTGGTCAAATATTTATTTTTAATTTCTTTTTTTCTTACCAGTGAGCAGCTTAAATCCTACTTTCATATAGAGGCCTGCATAGCAATGAAGTAGAAAGAACAGATTGTATATATAGAATAGCTTCTAAATAAAATATCTTACTGGAATGAATTTCAGTCTTTGACTCCCTTACATTTCTTACATGGCAAGCTCAGTACAACCTTTTTCATCTGACAAGATTAATTTTTCCCCACATATTTGAGACTGTGTGGTGATGCTGCACACTTGCACATTGCATGTAGATGAATGGGGGTGTTTGCCAGTTAAGTCACATTGTGTTGGGACAAGGAAATAGCAGGTAAAAAATTCATTTTGGATCTAGAGACAGATGCAAATAAAACCGTCTATATTGGAGATTAATTGTATCTGCAAAAATGGTAAGTCACATTTTTTCAGTTACGTATTTTTCACGGCTTTCTGCCAATGTTCTCATGTCATATTACTGTGTATGAAGCTGGCTGTAGACCGATGGGAATCTACTTCCTCTGTCTGGTCTGCTCAAGAGGAAAATAATATGGAAAAACTTTTTAAGTTTATGATATAACATACTTTGTTTTATTTAATAAAAAGATTTGGCAGCAAAAGCAAGGGGTTTGCTTAAGTAATAGTCTAAAAAGATACTATCTCTTTACGGTTGCTCGTTATGCATAGAGAAAACCCTTTTGGGGTATTTTAAATCACATTTTTGGAGGAAGAACTGCTAACTCAAATCACCAGATAATTTAAGTCTTGCATTTTTGTAACTTGGGCATGTTTTACTGCGAGAATGGTTGGAGGGACTGAATGAGGAAACCTAAATACCAGATTCTTCAACACGTGTTTCCATTTTTTTCAGGACCTAGAATATTGCCTAGATCCAAAGACGAAAGAACTCCCGCCCTTGCGAAACCCTGACATACTTGTTGGTGAAAATGACCTCACAGCGCTCAGTTATCTCCATGAACCTGCCGTTTTACACAACCTCAAAGTTCGATTTATAGACTCTAAACTGATCTATACTTACTGTGGCAAGTACTCTTTTCATACCATAATCTTTACAGAGAATGCCCCAGGCAGGAAAAGGAAAGTTGATTATTGATATGTCTGCCTTTAAGTTAAAGTCATTTAATGATAGAGCATTTCGTTGGGCTATTCTTATGAAAGTCCCTATGTTTGTGTTCGTTAAGTGCATCACGAAGACTTGGAAGTATTAAGGTTCAGAGAAGATTGACTTCGCTTGTGTTCCTCTAGCTACCCAATGGACTCTGTTTATAAAACATGTATTCAGCAATTGTAGCTGGCCGGTGGGATTCTGGGCTGATTGGTGTTCCCCTTAGGCTTGCTTCGATAGGCATGGGCTGGAGGAGGGCTTCACGTGGTGCAGATGCAGGAGGCTAGCCTCGCTGTTTGGTGAAGTTATGGCCCAGCTATGATGCTTGCCTCTGCGTTGAGCTCCTCCGTCTCTCCATGGAAGATACCAGTTTATTTTCTTTTTCATGTTTTCCAATCAGTGCAACTATAGGAGTGATTTGTAATAGTGCATGAGCCAATGCTTGTCCGATTACAATTAGGAACAATCTTGGTTTGAATAATACCATTTAACTCACAGTAGAGGTTACCCGAAGTTGTAATTCCTGTGATATATTCAGGTGGCCGGAATGGGGAGATGTTACTTTAATGATTGCTTCATCATAAGTGCAAAATTGCAGCTGAGTGGTCTGTTTTAAAGAAACATTGTGGAATTGTTTAGGCTTAAAATTGAGATTTCATGCTTCTGAGCATTTTTCTCTGTGTAGATATGTTTCTTTTAAATCTCAGTGTTTAGTCAAAGTACATTGCTAACTTTTTATTTAACCTTTCAATATACATATACTTTGTAAATTTTCCAAATATTTCTACAGATAAACTAGAGTCCCTTTGGACATTGTGCTAGTGCATAAGAAACAGTTTAAGTCATTAGTGGATTTTTTACATTTTAAGCTGAGTGAAACAAAACATCAGATGATGATGTGGTTGCTAGAAACCAGATATTGAAAATTTCCTTCTTGTAATTGTCTCATTAAGGCCAAGACACAGTTTTCCAGTATGTGTAGTCAAATTATGATTTTCATATTCATTGTAGCCCAGTTTATGCCAGCAGAAAACATACCTCATGATTTCTTTTTTAATATGCAATTTAACTTTGTCTCTAATTAGACTTTTGTAGGATGGTCCCAGTTCTTGGTATCGCAAGCCAGAGTATACTGAGCCTTCTTGATGTTATCATATGTTATTAGACTTATGTTTATAATTTCGTTGTACTTTGCATGCTTTGCACTGTTTTGCAAACTATAGAGTAGGGAAGTTGTGTTGCAAGGTGGCCCTTGACAGATATCAGCTAATCATGGCTGCAGGTATCTGAAGCAGGAATTTGTGTTTTGCGGCTGAAGGCCATGTCCTTTCCTCATCTGCATGTGGAATATGCCAAGGGTCAGATTTTCCCTCTTCTGGTCACTGTTACAGCTCCACCCATGGTGATGGGTATGGAGAGCTAAGGCAACCAGCATGTTAAACCTGTTGTGATGGACAGACTGCAGGCATTGATGGCGTGCCACGTTTTGCTAACTCTGGCTGTTGCTAATCTGCAGATGCTCAGCAGAGTGCATCTACTCCCAGTCTTGCTTTCAGCAGGGTCCAGGCCACGGAGGACTGAATCAGACTTTGCCACCCTCTGCTTGCAGCCAGCCTTCAATCCCGTAGGAGTGGGAGATGATTCATACCCATGTCTCATCCCATCATGCAGTCAGAGCATGACTAGAGGCACAGAATAATATAAGTTGGAAGAGACCTCTGGTATTCTTCAGTGAAGCTCCCTGCTTAAAACAGGTCTGACCAGATCAGGTTGCTCAGGGCTTGGACCACTCAAAGTATCTGAGTATTTGAATATCTCCAGTGATACCATAGCCTCTCCGGGCCATCCCTGCTGAGGGTGCATGTTCTGGTCCCAACACTCGCAAACCACCTCAGTTCCCCCAGTTTAGACATTGTCTATGTTTCTCTCCCTAGTGCCCCCAAGGCAAAGCTCTTTCTTGATGGGGGAGCGTCTTGTGAAAGGGCTTTTGTGCAGCTGGAGTCTCATGGCCTGTGCTTGTAAGGGATTTTCAGTCTGAGTTTTGTGGTCCTGTGCCTGCTTATACCACCATACCCCTCCCATAACACAGCCTGCCTGGTTTGTGTTTCAGCTGCTTGCAAACATGCTCTGTGTTTAGCATCATTTAAGAGGCTTTCAAAAGGAGTGTGCTGTCTGCTGGTTTTGTTTTGCTGTGTTTGGGAAAACATCATGGTTTCATGTTTTCCCTAGAGCAGCTTTAGTTGTGGGTTTGGCTGGTTTTATAATTTCTGATAGGGCTGGAAGGCCTTTAGCTCTTCATGGGTGGGTCTGCCAAAGGGCCTGTGGTGGAGGAGCTTGGCTGGCTGTTCTGCTTCCAGACAAGACTCAAGTGATGATTCTGGGAGCAGCATGTGGTTTTATTAGAAACATGTGGATCTGGTAGCGTGGGGGTTCCTGGTGGTCAAAGTGCAGGTGAAGGAGGTTTAACACTGCCTGGTGACCTGAGGAATGCAGTGTGCACAGTGGACTTACTAGCTCGGGTTGTCGGCATATGTACGTTATGTTATAAGCTAAGGAAAATAAAGTTGGCATGTGAGCCTTTAAAAACTTGATCCTTTGGCCATGGACATTGACCTTTCAAACCACTCTTACCGGTTCCCATCCTGAGTACAAGTTACTTCCCCTCTGCACAGGTTATTGCCTTAGAGCTCTGCCTCCAGAAGAAGCTGTATTTGCCTCATTAATCTGACTCACACATTAGCCAGGTTAGTTTAAATATCCTGTGAAGGTGGTTTGAGCTAACCCAGTTGATTTAGCCCAAAGGAGATTAAAACCACTTTAATCCACCAAGAGAATTACAGTAACATTATTTGCAACCAGTGGAACTAGAACTGGGATGAATGGATGGACGTCCATGGCCCTAGAAATGAATTTAACCATGCTGTCTTAGTATAATACATCAAACAGATATTAAATTCTTCAAAATTTCACTCTGAAGTAATCCAAACTTTTAAACAGAAAACCTGATTTCTTAATTTCAAGTCAGCTTTTTACCAGCAATTCAGAGGTGATTTGTAACTTTGCTTTACTGTTGGGACTATGAAATGAAGAATTAATGAAGGGTGTTGAAAAGGTACAAAGGAAAATGTGAATGCTTACATGGAAAAACTGCTGTGGCTGTCATGAAAACTCAGTGAATGCTGCTGTTTAGTTCAGATGTGTGAAGTACTGCCTGCTATGCAGGAGAGTAAACTTTAATTTAAATAGATACATTATTTATGTTAATATCCAATTTGTCCACAGATGGGTGAATACATTCAAGATAAAAGAATTAGATACACTTATTTTGGGTATATATAAGAAGAATGGCAAAAAGAGTATCCAGAGTTCAGTTTAGTCTAAGTGTAGGAACGAAAACACACATAAATCTGATTTGGGAAAGGCCATGATATTTCTTAAAATAGCAATATGATTTAGTGGAGATAAAAAAAAGTTATATATAAATTAATCTGGATTATAGTCCTGTGAGACAGACTGATTTAAAAGTTCCATAGAGGCATGTAATTCCGAACTCACATGTTTTGGATATTTCTAGATGGTGGTTGCTTGTTGATTTTACAGATCGCTACTGAAGTTAAGTGATTTAATATGCTGGAGACTTGTCTTGGGGCTGCTTGTTTTGAATTCGAGGGTTTATTTTTGTCAACGTAGCCAAAAGCAGGAAGAAATTGTCTGAAGCCTCGCATAGTTGGGTTTTTTTAATGTCTCTTTGATTATAGACTTGCAAAGCCTGGCAGGCTTACCTGACTTTTTGCTACTTTTTCACAGTTACAAAGGGCAGATGTTAAAAACTGAGGCGAAAATATTCCTTGAGTCTGCTAGTACTGAGGTCCCTTCCCCTCCCTTACCCCCCTCTTGTTTTTTGGCTCATCACTACAGCATTAGAACTTGGCATAAATTTTTATAGAGACTTTTTGCTTGAGCTCCTGAGTCATTTCAGTGAAGTCATGGCTGATGGAAAAACACTGACTCTACTTATATGGGCGTGTCTAGATGTAAAACTTGCCATGTATTTGAGGAAATAGATTGAGGTCTCAGATCTCTAGTGAAAGATACTCTGCTGTTGTTTAATGTTTTTGCTATGGTTTGTGCTTGGTCTATAAATGCATGACAGGATTTAAAAATGGGATGATGCTCCCAGCAGCAGTGCCAGACTGTAGATGCTTTCACTTCCCTTCTCCCAGCTTTTCTATGGAAAATTTCTTAGACAGACATCACAACACTATAATCTGCACAGAGCAGAGGGCTGGACTCTGCATTGAGGAAGCATGTATGTGTGCATGTGAATTTCTGAATAAATTTAGAAGTGAGTTGAGTGCTATGGAAATGCTTCTGGTGCAGGTTCTTCAGGGATGGTTTGTCCATGTGTAGCATGCTTGCTATAGACACTGTGCAGCCATCTGCACCTGCATTGTTGCTTTTAGGCACCAAAATATATATGTAAGAAGAAAGTATATTTTTTAAATGGCCACAGTTAAAATTAGAGTTTATTTTCTTTTCCCATTGTCATATTGCCAAGGTGAGGAGAAATTGCCATGTCAAGAGAGCACGGTTTGCCTGACGCGGCTGGGTCTCATGTGGCAGTGATCAGTGTTTTCATCCCTGCACTGAGCAAATAAGTGTTCCCTACCCATTGTAAATGCTGCAGGAGGGAAAGGTATAAGTAATCTTTGTCAAATCATGCCTGTGGGCAGAGCAATCCTTGTTTCTCATGAAAAAGAAAATTGTACCGAAAGCATTTGAGATCTCACTTTGTGGCTGGGAAGTTTGTATGGAGTAAGACTGAGTTTTCCTGTGCGGGGAGAGGAAAAGAAGGGCATGAGTTTAGGAATACTGTAATATTAAGTGGTATTAAAACAGACAGATAAGTGTTTAATTGGGGTGGAAAAATGAGAAAATGCAAGGTGTAAGTAGTTACACACGCAGATGTGTAAGATGAGGGTTTTACTGTGCCTTCTACAGTTGTAATTACTCAATTTCCTGACATGAGTGTGTACTGCTGTGTATCAGCCCTATGAAATGTGTCTACATGTAGATTTTTTGATCCCTTTGAGGATCAAAATAGTTGGTGTTAAAGCCATTTTTTGGTTTCTTTTATTTTGAAACAAATGTTAGTAATTCCTTTTGTTTCTTTTCCTTTGTAGGTATCGTCTTAGTGGCCATAAATCCTTATGAACAACTGCCTATCTATGGCGAAGATATCATCAATGCATACAGTGGCCAAAATATGGGGGATATGGATCCACATATCTTTGCGGTGGCTGAAGAAGCGTATAAGCAGATGGCCAGGTTTGTAGACCATGAGTCTTGAATGCAATTTTTTTCTAAAAGGAATAAAACTTAACATTTCTGGCTGATGGCCTTCTCTTTAATTTATAGCTTATGAAGTATTTTGCAAGATCTGTCTTTAATCCAGTGCTTTATTACATTTCACAAGAGGGTAAGTTGCCTAAGTTAGTGAACAGTAAAGCCTTATGAATGCCATGGAGATGATGGCTACTGACAGGTTACAGGAACAACCACAGATCTCATCAGTATTTAGGTCTAAAATTAGACCAATGCTTTATAAGATTATGTTGTTTTAATTTGATTATCAAAATGTGGAGATACTTTTTAATCATCAGTGACTTTTTAAAGAGAAAAATGCCAGATTCTTAGCTGTTCCGTATTTATATGTGACACTGACAACAGAAAAAAGATCACTCGGCTTATGAGTGCTATTATAGGCTCCTAGTGGAGTCAGTAAAGTCCCAGCTACGTAATCTGCCTGCGGCTGTTGTTGGCTAGAATTAAGAGGCAGCAGAGGGACAATTGCACAGTGCCTGAAAGCAGTGTCTCTAAGGACACTGTAACAGCTGCACAGGAAATCCTCATTTCTTTAAACATTGCATGAAAATGCACTTGTCACCCAAGGAGAGTGGTTATTAGAAACTTCTTCACCTTCACCCCAAGACCCTGCCAATTTGAGGAGCTTTTGAAATACTGTTTCTAGGATAAAGATCTTTTGGGCTACTAGGTGGTCTTTGGTTAACAAGATGGTCCCTGGTATCCTCACTGGTGAGCTGCAAGCTATTGATACAGTTTTGCTTGCTGATAATACAGCTCATGATTGAATTAATCAAGTAAAGCAGTGGCAGATCTCTGCATTAATCACAATGGCCCTCAAGCCATACTACAGGAGGGGGAGACAAGGGGAGAATAGGCTGAAAATGGTAAAATGTTCATCTTTCCAGTTAGCTATCTGTTCATTTAAGAAGCCAGGTGACTGCTGGAATTAATAAAATGCTCTGTACTCTGTGAAGTCACAGCTGCACATGTGAATATGGTGGTTCACAATACCCACGTAATAGATAATTTTCAAAAGACAGCGGTACAGTACAGTGCAACATTTCATGACTTAGGGTAACTGCAAAATAGCCAATCTTTCAAAAATACCCTACATCTGCACTGTTGAATGGCAGAGGTATTTGTCTTCTTTCCTTTCTGCTATGAAAACAGACATTTACTCTGGTATGGGAATATAAAGGCAAAACTCTGTGTTGTGACAGTCACATCTGCGTTGTGGTTCTTTCAGTCTGGATCACTGTTGTTTTACAGATTTAGAGCACTGTTGTTTTAAACAGACTTGCTACTCAAGTCCCTCTAAAAGCTCTACAAAACAAGAATTTATTAGCCTTATTTTACATCTGAGGCATGGTACAGTGACCTGCAATTATATGTCAGTGATGGATGTAATCCAGATTCCCAGAATTTTTATTCTTGATGCTAACCAGTGGAAGTAAGAGGTTGAAGGGGGATCTCTCTCCACTGTCTGCCTCTAAGCGCTGTGTGAAGCAGACTTACTTCTTACCTGTGTTGAAGTTTCAAATTGCTGGATCGGATTGCCTGTGTTCTGTGTGCTTATTAGCTGAAGCCTGTGCAGTGGAGATTTCTGTCTGCCACCATCTGCATTCTCTGCTGTCAGATGAAGGCTCAGATTTTGGCTGGAGTTTCTGCTGTGGTTTTTCCTTTTTGTGTTAATTGCCTACTCTTTAGCTCTTGCTGCGCCCTCCAGCAATTCTGCTGTCCTGAATAACAACAGATAAGATGCGGTAGAACTTCCTTTTTGAAACAGATGATGAGAAATGATATCTTAAGTAATCCTCTTGCATTAATGAATTCCTTCCTTTGTGTGTTTGCAACATATTATCAAAAATTTGTTATTCTTTTATGAATAACTGACAGTACTTTCATAGGTGCAAAATAAAATCTGAGCACAAAATGAAAACAAAAAAATTCCTCTACACTGAAGTAACAATTTCATTGTTTATTTAGTTTCACAATGTTTATTTCCTTTTCTGTCTGTCTATTTTTTTTTGGCTTGTTTGTTTTTTAAGAACTTTTTCTGTCATTTGGACAAACTGGATTTGCTCGTTGAATTTTGTTTTCTAACACTGTTTCCAATGCCTTAATAAGTTGTCCTGCCCTTTAACTTCAGTGATACTTTCTACATGCTGAACAAATCACCTTTTACTCCTGAGTTACGAAGTTAAAGAAAAAAATGTGTAGATTTACATTTCTGCAGCTGGTTATTTAAAAATGAAGATCAGATTGTCTGTGACTATTTCATTGGCGCTTTAATAATTTTGTTGAATATTCATATGGTAGCTACTAGTATGGCATTAATCTGCATTTATGCATGTAATTGGTGGGATTTATTTTTCTGTTGTTTCTAACTATATTTAAATGAATGTTGGAATAATTAGTGACGATGCTTCTATCCATAAGGTTTCAGTGAGCTCTTTTAAACATTTATTGCTTAGGTCTTGTTAATTTATAACGTAATGATTTAGGATTTATCCTTGCTAGCTTCGTTACTTCGTCTGCTGTAGCTGAGAAACTCCTTCCATGTGCATGGTTGTAACTAAATGATCTCTGTGGTCTTCTTCAGCCAAAGAAGATGGCCCATGACAGCAATCAGGAAAGCTAGTGATTGTACACTAAATATTTGCATTGCCTCTTCAGAAAAAATACAGTGCAAAAATGTTGGCTGCTAGAATGACAGGGATGGAGCTCACAGCTGGCTTGTGCACGAAAAGTGATATTCAGGAACTGCTTGCATTATTACCTGCAGTATAAAGCAGCACATAAAGATACCTTTGCATGTGAAATTTTCTGCATAGAGAGAGACAAATGGTGTGCTATGCGTGGGCAGTGAAGTGGTTTGCCTGTTTGGGCATCCATTATCTGCTCCTTCAACAGCAGTTCTGTCACTCGTTTCCATTGGAGGGTTAATGAAAAGGAATATGGATCGTCTTTACCGGCAGGTGACAATTAAATGGGTGATTGCTGTTTGCTCAGTACCTTCTTGTCTTTCTCAGCACAGGAAAATGTGCACAGCTCTTTTAAGACTAATCTTGTTTTGGATTACCATTTATTTTCTTCCCACCCACCGCCTCCCTGACTCTCCCCTTCTACTCCCTCCTTCTCATCTGTATCTTTGTGCCCTTTTCCTTTTCTCTCTCTGTCTCCTGCTGCTTTTCTGCACAGACCGACAGCTTCATTTCCAACACCTTTCCTCTGCTGTGCCCAAAATAAGCAATGAACTAGTTTTACAACTGCATTTAAATTGTGTTAGACTTAGGGTTATGTATGCTTCGTACTTACCAATAACTTCATTTGTTTCGGTTGTATGATCCTGAGCCAGGTGTTCCAGAGCAGATCCCTTCCTCTGTCCGGGCGGGAGGAGATCACCTGCGAGCGTGTCCCAGCTTGGGGGGAACAGGATTGGTCGGATGGGGACCCATCCGAGGGCCTCCCCCCTGCCACAGGGCTTCTGTGCAGAGCGGTTTGGGGGCTGCTGCGGTTCTGTAGGAACAACTGCAACAAGCTGTGCTTTTGGAAAGAGCTGGGACCTGCTCTCAGAGGTCTGTCTCTTCTCACAGATAGGAGTGCATTGTTCATGGAGAGCTTGCTTCATTTGAGCAAACATATACAGGTTAGGGACAATGTTTAAAGCAGACGAGCAATTTAAAAGGAAGTAGATTATTATTGAAGAACTTATTTTTGTCTCAGAAATGTAAACTACAGTGTCAGCATGTGAGTGTTTGCATGTGTTGAACCCTTTGAACTGCAATGCATACCACTTTTGTAAGTCAGCATTTCCAAATTGTTAACCAAAAAGTTCAGTCTTCACAGTTAGCCCTCTGTGGAAAATTGAGGCAAAGCATGAGTTGGCAAGTATTTGATTTTTAACTGTATGGTTTGCAGTAAGAGGAGATGTTGATGATTATACTCTTGAAACTGTTAAGAATTACATTAACGGATGAGACTAATGATTATCAGTTTCCTAACACTATTAGGGAAAGAAGTTCTAAATCTTTCTTACACGGTATCCCTTCCCCTGCCTTGTAGGGGTATATTGTGGTAATTAAGATAATGTATTTTTTTTTTGTCAGCGCTTTGTTGGTCTGATTTGTTCCATCCTACTCATGGTTGATGACAGATACGGCAGAGTTCAGTGCTTTTCAATTTAATGAATTAACCTGGAGATTTCCTTCTGATTAATTAGTAAAGTTGTCTAGCAGAGTGTAAGTTGAAAGTAACATTTGGAAACAGAATTACATACTGATGAGATCCCTATAAAACTTAATGAATACCAGGACAGAAAGCAACAGTGTTTAATAAAAACGTCAGTCTCCAAAGTTTTGCTTTTTCTATTTGGACAAAGTTTAATAATTTATTCAATGTTAGTGTGTATCTTTTTCATTAAATTACCTTTAATAAGCAGGCTGCCTCTCTGTTTTGTCAGATTTTCAGCTTGTATCTGATGGCTCTCAGCTACAGGAAGATTTTTTTCATAACACTTTCTGTTCAAAAGGAAGCTTGGTGAGCTGTTGAGTAGGTGGTTTGAAAGCACCTTGACTGACAGTCTCCAGTTATCCCAGGCATACCAAGATGATGTCCTCTTAGAAAAAGGCATGTTTGATCAGCTGCTGCTTTGCTTCTGAGTGTCTGATAAATGGATACTCCATTGGCAGAAGTCGGGAGGGGGGTGATTAACAACCTGTCAAGACCTGCATCCAGTTACAAAATGAGAGCCTGCTGTGATGGGTACTGTGCAAACACACAGCGGCCTTCTTTGACTTACGGCTTTGACATATGACTTCTTAAATGAAAAACTTACCTTGAAAAGAGGTGGTACTTTTGGGGCTCTGTTGTTAAAATTGGAATGAAAAGGGAAATTGTCCTTTCTGGTGAGAACAGATGATTTTGGAACAGTCTCTATACTTTGGGTCTGACATTTTATG